AACAACAAAGAAACAAGGATAGCTATCAGACTGTAGCATTTTAAAAATGCTTATGTTGTACATAAGACTGCCCTGATTACATGATGAAACATGTGTGACTTCAGCAGCTCTTTCGCTCGGTCTTACTGTATCCAGCCTATAAAAACCGTGGCCTTGGTGAAGTGAGAGAACAGTGGGAACGCAGTTTTCTACAAGCTCTCAAGAATGCTGCAGCACAAAACTTTACTCGTGTCCTGGAAGGGAAAGCTTCCGGACGGGCAGCTGCCTGAGCCAATGCCTCACCATGCTCTCTTAGCAACACGCTGCTCAGCGTTTGTTGTTTTTGCTTCCTGCCTTTGGAGGTCATCCAGAAATGACGTAGACTGGTGCAACACTATCTGGTGATCCTCCCCACCAATCCGTTTATGTATAGTAAATTATCGAAATCATTTTTATCCAATGAGTGGCCAGAATGAGTAATTGAAAACTGTTTGTACAAAGCTTCTGCGATGCTTTGGAGGTGGTTCCCCCGAGGCCATTTTTCTTTGTATGTCTTAAATGACAGTGCTTTAAAAAAAAGTAAGAAAAAATTTGAGAACACACAATGAACCTAAACCACATCCACTTACACGCAGCCAAGCAGGGCTTAAAGATGGATGCGTAGTTTCACATTTGAATTTTGAGTTCACAGGCAGGTTTAAACAATATTTTTCTTTAGCGAATGGGTGAGGGGTTTGCTCAGTAGCACTAATCAATTGCCTCGGTTGTGCATAATGTGCTTGCAGACTACTCCTACCTTTATGAGCAGGACACCAGAGCACCTAGTGAAGTCATGTGGCACAAGAATATAGTTACTGCACACTGTGCCGACACAAAGTGTTATAAGGGTTGGACAAAAACCTGATTTTTCAGTGACTTTTAGATGAAAGCTCTCTTTTCATGACTAATGAACTACTGGATTCTCAATAAAGAGGAACATTTTCTATTTAGACTTCAGAGCTTTCCCTTTTTGAACTTTAACATTGTGTGAATTTGCAGGCTGTGCAAGCTCTAAATACTTTGAGTCACTTCTAGATACAAGACGACTATTGTCCTATGTCAGTTATATGCCATTATTTATGGGGGAAGTGCGTATATGACTTAGTATTCTAAAAAGAGAGGGCAATACAGTCTCCCGCTTCTGTGTCACTAAGGGAACACCTATGTGTTTGCTATGCGTACAGTGGGCAATAAGTGCTGTAAAGGAACGGAAACAAACCTCAGGTTTGATGATTACCAACATTCATGCACTTGAAACATTACTACTGAATTTGAAACATATGGGTTTGTACTTGCACTGTGGCCACATATGAATGCATCAGAAGAGGATTTGAGAAAAGCGTGGGTTCAGAAAACTGCTCTTCTAAAGTTCTCTCCACTAGCTGAGCTTAACGAAAATGGCTTTTCCAAGAGACTGAGGACAGTTTATACATGGGCAATCTGCTCAACACTGTCTGTTCTGTCAAGAATCAGCTTGTTCCTTCTACATCTTAAAAAAACATCTGATATGTAATTTATCTTTTCATGCAAGCAGAATGAAAGAGTAAAGCGCACCCAACCATTACAGAAGCACTGTCACATAGTACTGGAATGGCCATGGTTTGCTGTAGGCAATCCTTATATAGTAAGGATTTGTGGCAGAGGAGTAGCACTGTTATCTGAAATACTGAAGACTACTAAAGTTGTTCCCTGGTCATCTTACAAATTTGTGTAATGCTTCCAGACCCTGCCGCAGTATGTTTCTTTGCACGTGCTGCGTCCCCTTTGATGGCTTCCTGCCTTCCTTCCATGTGTGGAATAAACACAAGATACCTATACTGCTTTCAAAGAAAAGGAGGGCAGGAAAAAAATTTCTCACAGAAAATATTAATTTCATCCTCTTCTCTAACCTGATTAGAACAATTAGCACTAATTAAGTGTAAGAGAGCTTGTAACCTAACTCCACTCACTGTATAAATTAAATTGTTTTGATTCATATTATCACAGGACAGAAAGTATCAGCACAGTGACTACATTACATGCTTACCGTAACACGAGTGCATTTGTGAACTGCAGCATTGCTCTGGGGAGCTGGTTTCACAGCCATGGTTCATTTCTAACCAAGTGCTCTGGGCTGCTTTAATTGCACTGTTTCATTGATAGATTTGCTCCACAAAGGTGAATCACCATTTCCACCTGCTGCCCAAGAGAGAAAGTGTTATTACCAATAAAGCTCAAAGTCTGAACCACAAAGGTCCTACCCAGAATCTGAACTGAGAGTGCAAGTCCTCTGTTCCACCATAAGTAGAAAACAAATAATCCACTCAATCCTTTCTGAAATTGAGACATAACTTTGCTCAGTTCTTACTGGGCTGAGATACGTGCTGCTTTGTTTCATTGTTTTTACTTTGAATTACACCTTTTTATTAAAAAGAAATAAATCTGCTTACAACTTGCTCCAAATTGTAAGTAGAATTAATGTAAGAGGCCAACATCCTCACAATACCCCACTGCAGGTAACAGAACTACGCCACAATGAATTTGGCTCACTTGCACGCAGTTAAGGCGTAGCATGGGAAACACCGCTGTAGTGACAGAAGCTATAACATAAACACAGGAAAGGAGGACCCTGCTAAGCAGTGGGTGACCTCTAAAAGCACTGCGTATTCTTTGCCTCACAGCCTTGGTACGTCCCCACAGGTTGATGTTTTTGGTTAGCAATGAAGGTGAACAGTGGGAGCAAAGGATAGGACTGGCAGGCTTGTAAAACTCTCCCTGACATACATCCGCTTAATCACCAGCAGCCTACCTAGGAGCTGCACCTCACCTTTGTCACGTACAGATAAACACGCGCTGGATTCTCTTAGGGAGGTTATAAATAGCAAAGTTCTGACAACAGCATAAACTACTCAAATTCTGCTTCTGAGCAGCAGAGGACCCAAATCCTTGGTGTTTTCAGGGAAAAGGAAGGATGTGGGCTTGATGCATAATGAAGACATTTAACTTCATTAAGTCTCTTTCCCTTAGTTTTTATCTATAGAAATAAGTATGTGTAACCAGTAAAATTGCAGCCAAGTTGTAAAAGGATGTATTTAACAATGCACTCTTATCATAAGTGGTTCCTCTGCAAAACAAATAGCCACCAAAGCGCTATGGATTACCTGCATAAATATTCCCTGTAAAACACAGCTAGCTTACAGTGATTATCTAATTAAGAAGGAACCACCGCAGAATAAAACTACAGGGAGAAATTTACTACCGTTAGCTTCACTTTCTTCCATACTGTGTTCCCTTCATAACAAACCAGCTTTTTTTCCCTGCAGTCTATAAGCAGTTAAAGCTTCTTTTTGGGTGAAGATGCTCTTAAGCTAGCTCTGTGAAAACCAACCTTGGACCCAAAGGGCTCAGTACAGTGTGGAGACCTGGCTTCAAATCAGTACAGTCATGTTCGTATGCTGCCGCTTCAGGGTCCAAGGTGATTCATCTGTTGGAAAATTGCATTGCTGTAAGGGTTGAACTGGTTTGGACAGTGCTAGCCAGGAGATCTTTCACATTGCTCTACTATACAACGTCAACAGGCCCTTAAGGATTTGGACTGGGACGCAGGTTCCTGGCATCCTTAACTCTTTAGGTTTTGTCTATAAATATCCTTTCAGCAGCAGGAACTAACTGAATTTTCAAACCACACATATCATTAGCAAACCTGGTACAGCTTAGTGTGTAGGCTGATCTAAAGATCTAAATAGCAGCATAATTTAAATCACTTTATGCCATTTTTAGTGGTTGTTGAAATTCAAGTTGCATTGATTTTAGTAGACTGGCTGAGAAACTCCATTAGTTCAATTTGTTCTCTTCCATTTTAAAGCTGTCTATTGGAAAAACTTGAATAGGTTCACTACATTGGCTGTAATGAATCCTGATAAATAAAAGTAACATAATCAATTGGCTGGGAAATGTTACTTGAATATAAACATTTTCTCCCTTCTTTCTTTTTCAAGACTGAGCAAAGCTTTTCCCTTGCAACTTCTCTCATTTTTTAATACAGATTAAAACATGTAAGAAGCACTTACAGGGTTTTCAGGGATAATATTATATGATTAACATACACTGCAACTAAACCCCATGCTATACTAATTCCATGGGCCTCTCCTTTTTGGTAATGTTTCATTCTGTATCTTCTCCATTTACAGAAAATAAGCTTTTAAAGGAAGTTGGTCTTCCCTCTACAGCTCCCAGTGGAGTTTTCAAAACTTTGAGAATTTAGTTTCAGTATGAAAATATGACTTGTGTTCATATGTTCTTGCAGCAGATGTCCCCAAAACACTTGGAGTATGAAACAATTTCAGAGGGGACATATTTGATTACTTTTGAATTTTTATGAGGCAGAAAGAAATAAGAATTGAATGAAAATGGCAGTTTATTGGAATTTTACCTTTGCAAAATGTTCATAGACCAAGCAGCAGATTTTTTTTGTTTAGGAGAAAAATTAGATAATGAAGCAAAATAGAAATAAGTCCCTGTAGTTCTATAAACACTGCCTCTATGAAAATGGCTTTATCACAGAAACACAGTTGGAATTTCTCCCATCACAGTAATTCAGTGCTTCTCTTCTGCTTGTAATAAATTTATATTCCAATTTGCCTATAAATTTCTTAATTTTATAATAGGAAAGAGATGGTGCATTTCTTAGTGGAAGTTGTTTGCCTGTTTTCCAGGAACAACTTCCTTAAATGTTTTCATTCGATGTATGATTGTATGGGCCTCCTTCTTCTAGCTCTCCTATGAGCTTTGATTACCATATGTCCTTTTAAAATATGGCAAGACCAAGCCAACATATTATACAAATACATCTGATCGATATGAGTTTATAGTAATCTCCTCCCCTAAATTAAACAAAATGACATGCCAGAATGGAAGCAGTTCCAATAGAAGTGTTTAAAAGCAGGGGTGAGTTCTGATTTTCTACACACATGAGGCTTACAAAAACATTCTGCTTTGTTCAGATACTTCAAGAAATCTTCCAGACAGAAGATACAATCATGTTACTGGAGAGATCCATAAAGGCAAAGGAGTACCCACTGAAAGTGGCTCAGACCCGCCTGGAGGGAAGAACTAGACGACCCAATATAGAACTTTGCCGTGATGCACCTCAGTTTCAGTAAGTAAAGGCCAGACTACTCCGTCCCTTCCTTCATCAGCCACTCAAGAATGGGAAATTTAATGACAGTGTGAACATCAGTTTGATGAGATTAGAACTGCATTCATTACATTGTGATATAAATTCTGGAAGAAAGTAGTAAAATCCAAGTAGCTATGTTGAAATAATGGGCCAAAACATCTAATGTTCAGTGTGTAGTTGCCTTTAGAGTCCTTCTCCCAGGACAGTTAAGAGCTCAATTGCTTGTTGGTGGCTGACATCTTTTGGGATTCAGTCTCATGTCCGAGTTGTGACTTAGGAATTGATTTTAATTCCATTCTGTATGAAACACAAGATTTCACTTTAGGAAATACCTAATTTTAGAAACACATTATCCCAGACAAAATTCTGTCTTTTGATGCAAAAAACTATCTAATGGTCAAGCTCTTTAAAAAGTTAATTGCAAATAAGAATGAGACAGCATCTCTTACTGCCTCAACTAATTTTCAACTATATAGTGCCTCCAGTATCATCTTTGTACAGGTTAGCTCATTTGGCATACATTTTGGTTATATAGCTGTGGGGACTTCCCAGCACATGTTGGCATCAGCTTGGTGATCCCTGTGCTATGATCCATTGTATAGTGTGTATTGTGTTATTATAGATGTACAAGAAGATGTCCGAGATACTAGCCTTCCTTCCCTGATGACTGAAGAAGGGTCTTCTGAATTGTAATCCCATTTATCTCCCTCCAATCCAGTTGGAACACATCAGTGTTCCAAAAGAACTCTATTGAGTATATCTTATTTAAAATACTGTCTTCAAAATATCTGGGGGGGCGGGGGGGGTGGCAGGTTCTCAAGAAATACTGCACCTGGAGTGAATAGCTGGAGTGAATTTCACAGTCCAGTAAGAGAATTTTGCATATTTTTATGAAAAGTAGAAAACTATTCCCTTTTTATTTTTGTCTCTAGCAAAATCCCACTGTATACAACAGCTTCACATACAATGAGATTAATGAAGTACATAATGCTTAAACTGAGTATTTCTATTATTTTTCCCTAAACAGTGTTTTATCAGCTCAAAAAGCTATTCAAACAAGGAAGGGGCAATAAATCATAGTTTATTGTACTGGCATCTTTTCACTTTTTTAACTCCTTAAACCATAAATCGTACAATGCAATATATCTTTTTTCAGCCTCAACTCCTTAATTGGATCTTGACATTTCCTTTGGCGTATCCATATATTAGATTTCTTCAACTTCATGCTCTGCTCTCCGCATCCATTCTGTCACAAAATATTGTTCTGGGTCTGAATTCTTTTATATCCATTTGGATAGCTTTATGCACGTGGCTTTTCATATCACATAAATCACACCTGTTCTAGACGCAGGAGCTCAGCTGTCAGAAACCAGAAAAACTTCTGATTGCACTGTAGCATTCACTTAGCAGTTACATTTACTATGGGAGCAGATCATTTGCCACTTCAGTTACCACCACACCATCAATTATGTATGCAAATAAGCTAGTATCAGCATTTTATTAAAAACCAAAACAAGACGGCCTTAAATATTAACACACAACTCCAGTTTTATACTCACTCTGAGTCTTGTTCTCTCCCTACTTCCTCCCTGAAGACCTCTTCCACAAAAATGTCTGCAGCATTGTGATTGGTATCAGTCCAGTCAGCCGGATTGCATGTATCCAAGATACAAAACTTGTTTGATTTAGGATCAAAAATGTGCTGAAGCAGTATCACATTACCCCTTCTTCTTCCCACAATTGCCAGTGATGCTGTTGATGTTCCAAAGGGTCCTGCCCAAAAAAGTTTGGAAGCTTCATTTGAAGTCACTGGAACATCAGAATGTCTTTGAAAATTTTCTTCAATTAGAGTGAAAGGACATTAATGTGACATACTTAAAAACAAAAAGTACATAGGGGTTCTGAATCAATCTAACTTCTACTAGCTTATAGAAGAGCTTCACAAGCTGTTACACAGCTATTTGGAAGTATTTTAGGCTTAATACACATGCAAGTTTTCTGTCAGTCTAATATGGCTTCTAATATTTTAACCAAAACGTTTATACAAGTACATCGTTTACTAGATGTAGTTATATTGACAGATAATTAGCATCTCCTGTTCTCCTTCCTCCAATGCATATGAATTTTGCTCTACCACAGCTCCCTAATCCAGACCAGGTTATTTTGGATGCTTTACCTGATCCGAATCATTGAATGTTATGGTCATCATAACTGCAATTAGAAAGAGAAATTCTGACAGGGTATTTGAAATTTGGACACTTTTTTCTATCACAGTTTTTGGCTGAGCTCACATCTCAAATAAAATGTATTTTCTTAGAGACAAAATCCTATCTGAGAAAGTAAAACCATTTGCTAATCCACTTTTTAAGGATTTTTTGCTTTTAACTAATTTGTTAAGTGTATTTCTCTCATGTGGTTTAAAGCAAGGAGGAATTCAGCCCAATAGCTCAACTGTAATAGGGAAAGAAAATATCAAATGAACCACTTCTTTGTAACATATAAATGTTATCTGAGTTTGCTGTTTATTTAAAAGGAAGTGCTGATGTTGGCAGTTGTTCTCTGTGTGTGCTGCCAACTTTGTAGTTGAAGGGATTAGGCAGAAAACAAATTAATAAAGTCTAGTTTTTCTGTGCTGAAACAACTGGGACTAACCCAAAACAAGTTAAAGTGGGTTCTGGAAAAATCAATCTTTCTCATAGTCTATAGTGGACTGAGCAATTAATAGAACATTAGACAAAACACAAAGTTGACAGTATTAAAGAGAGTTTACCAGCTCAGAGACTGTACAAGAAGATTTGCCACATCTCCATTGATAAGCCACTGGAAGAAATGTGGCTAATATCAGCTCATGGAAAGTCTTGATTTCAGAGCTCCACATTCAATGGTTATTCTGGCAAGTGATTCTTGTACCAATTAACAGGCTTCTGCACCAAATCTAGACCATTTAGCACATCCTGCTGCGCAAGTTTAAGCTATCATGAACTACACCAACACTCTCCAGTAACATCCATCCCAGACATATTCTACAGGACCATATGTAAGCGCTCAACACAGCCGTGCTAGCCCTAGAGAGGCTACACAAATGAGAGGCTGCAAGTGAAGAAGATAGCAATTAGAAAGATACATCAGAGTGGCTTAATCTGCTGTTGAAGGTCAACGCAAGCAAGAAACATCACTTCTTAAAGGTGCTATGCAAACTAGTTTGGCAAGTAGGTTTCATACTGATTCAGTCCAAGACAGCTGTTCAAATCCTGCCTGAAAGCACGACCTGTCCACTGTCAAAAAAGGAATGTGGTGAGGGACTGCTAAAGTTATGTGAGCAACCTGTCTCATTCTCTTTTCTCAGGCTTGTCACTGAAGTTTACGCTATAGATGACACCTTACATACCTTAAAGCGACGTCTGCAAGAAGCCCACGATACTCTGCAGATGCTGATCCTCAACAAATCAAAGCTGGAACAAGAAATTTCTGTGAAGGCAAACTCCTTCTTCATTGACAAGAAGTGTATGGACATGCGCAAAGTTTTCCCCAGCACCCCACGGCTCATTGGCTACACTTGAATGTAACCTTTGACATCCTAGTGCATGATATAAGAGTTGCAAAGGTTGCAAATATTTCCTGAAGGAAATAATTATTATTCTGTTTTCTCAAATAAAGAAGTCCTATAGAAATAAACTAATGAAAATTAATATCATGCCTCTCTCCTTTGAACAACCTTGTATTCTCAGCTGTAGCTGAGTAGACTTATTCTAACAGAATCAGACCACGCTAAAATAACCAAATATTGCAAGACATATGTGAGTTACTAGCTAGAGAAAACGTTAGACTGAAATGCCATACTTCTCAACAGAATTAGTACAATACAGGATTTAACTGTTCAGGATAATGTGCCTTCTGTGTTTTAGTGCTTGTCTGGAAAAGTCCAGTTTAAATACTCTCCTTACACTCTCCTCCTGTCTAGCAATGCTAGATTTGATGTTTGGAATTAGAGGAGGTTGAATAAACTTGATTCACAGAAACTGAAGGGCAGCTTCAGTGCAATCACTTCAGGTACACGTGTAGCCTTTATTCATTGAGTGGGAATCTTTCCACCTCTACCTCTTTTTTTTCTTTTTAATTTGATTTTTCATACAATTAAGTATGAAGAAAATTTGTCTATTTATATGAACTATTTGTGACTGATGTGATATTTGCCTAAGTCTGAAAGGTCTTAACTATTTAGAAATACGTACTATCTATCAATAGATCTCAAAGGACTTCATGAGCAAAGACAGCACCATTGCTCTATTGTGACTAATGAGAAAGTTAAGACAAAGTGGGAATGGAACCAGCATACGGGAACATGATGTGCTTAAAGAGCACTGAAATTGTCCTTCAGTCTGTGAGTCAAGATTGCTCAGCTTTCTAGTTCTCAGCGGAGCACTACTCTGTGTGATGGAGAGGAGAAGGGTGGAATGGGCTTTGAGATCTGACTTTTCTGGATGACAGTTGAAACACATTAACAGTGAGGTAATCCTAGTAAAGGATTTGAGGAAGAACTAGTTTTAACTAACGGTAAAACAGTCTGACCCTTTTGGACAAAATGGAGTAATAATGTTTTACTGTTATTTGTGTTTCTTTCCTGGATTTACTCACACTCACTTACAGAGTAACCGGCAAACTACAATTCTAATATCTGAGCTGTTTCCTCCTACCTCAGCGTCCTCTCTACAGGGCAGCTCTAGGAACACATAAAACGCATTTTACACTGGACCAAAGCCAAATCCAAAACAATGCTAGATTTGAAAGTCTCCTGAATAAACTGGCTCTGTTCCTTACCCTTTGTTTTGTGTGGGTGGTGGCTTAATCTAGCTACCAAGAAAAGTAACATTGCTGAGGCACGCCGAGCTGAGCGGTGCTGATACTTCCTTGTGAGTTAACCTCAGTTTTCACTGAGCGTGGTTGTGGCTGAGCCATTTGACACTCAGTTTTTCTCATTCAGTTAAAAAAGTAGTATCTCCTGGCTATTGTGTCAAACCATGTACATAGTGATATGTTTCTGAAGATTTAAAATCATGGGAAACCATTTTGGAACACACGATCGAGAAGTGGCATCCAGGCCTACTTCTGATACTCGTTAAACCCATCTCACATTGACCACACTGCATCTTGATTTTCTTAATGAGGATAATGCCGGTCATGTTGCACATGACTATGGACAGGGCAGGCTGCTCCATCCAGCAAGCTGATGCCAAATGGTGGCTTTTTGGGAGGAATCTCTCTCAATATAGGGAAAGTTCCAGAAATAATTTGTGTTTATATTACCACATATGACTGCAGAGCAGTGCGATGGCTCCTGGTGACGTGCCACCGGAGACAGGAGGAGTTCTGTTACTGAACACTTCACCGGTAATCTGGTTTGAATTAATAGCCATACCTTGCTGTTTCTTACTCAGAAACACTTCACAACAAACTTCTATCACAGAATCCCCCTTGGGACATGACTTTAGGTGGGAGGAGTGAGGAGTCTCACTGCTTTGTTTCCCAGCAGGGAAGACTGTTACCACTGGTAACATATTCCTCCCTCTCTATGCCTTTGTATGGAGGCAAGGGAGATTTTATGACTTGCTTCTGTTACTACCAAACCGTAGAATAAAGCACTTGATTTGCATTTCATATACTATTTTTACAATGTATAAAGAATAATATTTGTGTTCAGCTGTTAAATATTGACAATAGTCCCACCCTATATATCAAATACTGACAGCTGACCAAGCAAAGGAGTAAAAATTATTTGGAAATTTGGATCTTCTTCAAGGCTTTAAACACATTTCTAGAAGTTGGAAGCTTTCCCAGTTCACACAGCTACTCTAACAGCTAGAAATAGTTTCTCCCCTCCTTATGCCAAGAACTCAATTAAGAAATATATAGCAGAAGGGAGGCACTTCTAAGAGAGCTGAATTCTTGCAACAGTTCTTGACAGAAGAGGAAAAAAGGAAAAAAATCTTTGCCTGAAAACAATCAACATCAGTGAAAAGTCAGCCTGAATCAAAGCCCTGAATTTGCAAATCTGGGGGCTTTGGGATGGAGATGGTGGGGCTGAACAATAGTTCTGAACATCACAAATTCCAGCTCCTTCCTGACTGTGCCTTTGTTCAGCAATGTTCTCTCTCCAAGACCTGGGCTCTGCTTTTGGGTGGAGTACTCACTTGGTACATTGTCAGTGCAAACAACACTGAACTTGGTTGAACACAGTGTGAACTCCTCCTAAGAGTGACTGCCTAAAACCATGGATCTATGACAGTTAGCACTGTTCTTTGAGAGCATCATTTTGCATGATAACAGTAATTCCCTGAGATTCAGCTACCATCAGCAAGAATAAATTTTTACTGAATACTGCAAAAATAACAACACCGTACAAAAAATCATCTTCTTCCCTAACTACAACTGACCAGAAGATACTAAGTATATTATCCTAGTGGAAAAAAAACTCGGTGAAGAAAGTTTTCTTGTCTTTCATTAGTGGTATCCATGCATGCAGCACGTTTCAGTTGCTGATAGTGTACGTCCTCTTTTTAAAAGTAAACAGCTTTCATTAGGCTATTGAAAAGGAGGAGACTTCCATGGACTTAGGCTATAAACCTATATAAATCCAAAAAGGCTAGAAATAAGTCACTATTTGCTTCTTAGAAGTCAAGGTAGATGGATAATGCAGAAAACCTGGATTGTAGTCTTGTTCTGCCACTGATTTACTGTGTAAATGAATTTACACTCAGCCTCCAGAATGCAGTTAATCCCAGTTGTGATGGGAATATGTGAAAGGAAAGACATTTCTAACAATCATAAAGATACCTAGATAAACCTGAGAATCTCTTAAAAAAAAAACCAACCCTGACAGAATATAAATGTTCTTTCAGCTTTTTTCCATAGATCTCTCTCTTTGAAAATCTCTAAAAAAAAAACCAACCCTGACAGAATATAAATGTTCTTTCAGCTTTTTTCCATAGATCTCTCTCTTTATGAACTAGATCATCAATTATTGTACTCACATGCAGCCACAGACATCAAGAAGCCAGATCTACTGTATTTCCATGTATAGAACCAGAAATTTAATGACCAGTTCCATAATACTTGAAAGATAAGAGCTGTTTTATAACAAATAGACTAATGCAGAAAAGACCAAAACCTGTCCCTGCCTGTTTCAAACAATGAGATAATTTTAGTTCCAGACAAGCTATTTCCTAACATTATCTAAACTATAGCTCATAAAAGTTTATGGACTTAACCTCCAAACAGAGTAAGAAAACAATGGATCTAAGTATCTTCACTAACGATAATCCCAGTTCAGTGCCACAAGGTTACTGATTATAGCGAAAGTAGCTTATTTTACCCAAATCTACTAGTAGTTTATTCCTCCTTTTTTTTTTCCTTTTTTTTTTTTTAATTTAAAATCACAGCAAGGAAGCAAAATTTGTCATGTACAGATTAAATGTCTTGCCACACAGAATTTACAGATGATGTCCACAGTCAATATGGTGCTCATTACAGCACATGCAGGCCCACCGATGTAATAAGATATCCCAAATCAAATGAAGGATATATGCCAACAGTTTGGTAAGTAATTACTATCTTGGGTAAGGTTATGCACAGACTTAGACCTCTGCAATATTCAATCTGAAGATATGAAGATGGAGTCAAACTTTCAGGTCTTTGCTCTGCAGCTGCTTCAGCAACACTGATTTCACAGAATCACAGAACAGTTGACATTGGAAGGGACCTCTGGAGATCATCTAGTCCAGCCATCCCCCCGCTCAGAGCAGAGTCAACCAGAGCACATTGCTCAGTGCCATGTCCAGTCAGGTTTTGAATATTACTGAGGATGGAGACTCCGCAACACCTCTGAGTAGCCTGTTCCAGTGTTTGACAACCCTCACAGTTAAAAATGTTTTTTTCAAGTTTAAATAGAATTTCCTGTATTTTCACCTGATCCTCCTCTACCAACTGTAAGTCTTCCTTGCTCCAGACTTTCCCACTGGTCTCAAGGACCTGGGATTTCTGAGGACATATCTTACCAGTAAAGACCAAGGGTGAAGAAGGCATTGAGTATCTCGGCCTTTTCCATATTGCTGTCACTGAGTCCCCTGCCCCATTCACCCAGTGGATCCACATTTTCCCTAGTCTTCCTTTTGTTGCCAATACACTTGTAGATGCCCTTCTTGTAGCTCTTCATGTCCCTTGCAAGATTTTGGCTTTCCTGACCATCCCCTCATGCTTGGACAGTGTCTCTGTACACCTCCTGGGTGACCTGACACTGCTTCCACCTCTTGTATGCATCTTTTTCATGCCTGAGCTTTGTCAGCATCTCTTTGTTTATCTGTGCAGGCCTCCTGCCACCTTTGGCTTATTTTCTGCCCATTTTAATGGACCATTCTCAAGCTCAGAGGAGGTTGTCCTTGAAAAATCAGTAAGACCTCAGTGACCCCTCTTCCCTCCAGGAATATCCCACGGGATCCCTGAACAGGCCAAAGTCTGCTCTCCTGAAGCCCAGGGTTGTGATCGGACTATTTGTCTTGTTTCCTTT